AGAGCCCTGGCACAGGCTGCCCAGGGAGGCTGTGGAGTCTCCTTCCCTGGAGATATTCAAAACCTGCCTGGACGCGTTCCTGTGTGACCTGCTCTGGGTGACCCTGCTTTAGCAGGGGGTTGGACTAGATCATCTCCAGAGGCCCCTTCCAGCCCCCGCCGTTCTGTGATTCTGTGAAGAGCAACTTCAGTGCTCTGGAGAGGAGGAACAGTTGGGGTTGATTTTTTTTCAAGGGGCTTAAATTATCCTCAGCGGAAATTGAGAATTCTCAAAGAAATGCAGTCAGGTCTTGGTATCAAAGCTGGATGGGGTGTCCTGCTTTTCTGGCTGAAACTGCTTCCTCTGTGTGAGTGCTGCGTGTATTCCATATAATTCCTAAGTACCATCAGGAGTACCTTCGGAAGTTGCTGTGGATGTGCAGGTTTCTCCATAAGGTGTCCTGCTGCCTGTTTGTACTCTTTCACCTGTGCTGTTGGGATGGGAGTGGGAATGGGAAAATTAATGAAAAAATATTTCCGTTAGCATGAAGTGCATCTAAAAGGATTTGATCAAGAATGTGCCGGTTGTAAGGGTTGATGTGTCAATCACGACATCTTTGTTGAAGTATTTGTTGTGGATTTTAGTGAGATTCTTTCCGCTGAGGAGCGACATGACCCCGAGGCTACCAAAGGGGGATGTGTCTAACCAAACCCACGAGCTCCCTTGTGTTTTCAAACTCCCTCACGGATCCGTTTTGTGTTTTGTGGCCTGTTGCCATCGTGTTACGCTGTTAACGTGCCAAATGCATTTTCTAACGCTGTTCAAAAGATGCTCTTTAACCTTTACTGTGTCCTTCTGTCAAGTGCCAGAAACACTGAAGTCTGCTTCTAGCAGACCGGTTTTCAATCCTGCTTGTCTCTGTGCATCGCTGTGAACTTGGGTATCCGAGCAAATGTGTTCTCCTTGTCTGGACTTGTTAGTTTTTTGAACATCAGAAATCAGCGTGTCACCTTCCTGTGTCGCCTGGTCCTCTCCGGGGGGATTTCTGCTCCACGAGGAGATACGCGGAGGTTGGACCTCTGGGCTTTCCTTTCGGGCAGACCACCTAATCCGATGGCAGAATAACCTCGCCTATGTCATGCTGTCAGCTTTTGTGACCCGAAAGTCAGGCACATCACTTGCAGCGGAATGTGTCTGCAGAGCATGGAGGAAGCCCAGGCTCTCCTCAGGCTTTAACATATATTGGAGTGATGAGGAGAAAAGTAATAAAATATAAATAGCTCCTACTTGTGTTTTCAGAGGTTTAAATCATAAGGTTTGAATGGACCTTTGTTGCTTTTATCCAGTTAATTGTCTTACTCTTGGAGGTGGTGGTGGAGGGAATTTCACCCTTTAGCCCAGTCAGCTCCAAACATCTCCTCGGTTGTCTGGTGGTCATGGTGGGCTCTTGACCCTGGGGCGCTGCTGGTACAAAAGCGGCAGACTCGAGCCTGGGGGCTGACCCTGGCCACGATGTGTAGGTTTGATTTTGGTTGCAGTAGCTCCTGGCAGCTCAGAGGACAGTGTGTGGAGATGGGAGGTGGCGCTGGCCAGGATTATGCTGCCCGATCGATTTTATGCAGAGTGATGGGCAGAGGGATGGTAAGGACAGACAAGCAGAAGCAGTGACCTTGTGAAATTACTGGTCTGAGGTTTTTCCTGTTTAGGGATTTCCATACTGGACTTGCAAGGCAGTCGGTTTTCCTCTTCCCCTTCCCTAAAAAAGTCTTGCACTGATGGGATGGTCTTGAAATAACTTTCTCAGTGGCTCTAAAGACCTTAAACTGCCAAGCCAACACCAAAAGCTGTTATAATAGTACAGATAATGGCCCTGTTAGGTTTTTATCTCCAGGACTTGGTCCCTATCAGGTGCTTCTCAGGCAGCTAAAAATACCCAGGCTGCACAACAGTGAGCAGGGGGCGGTGTGGGTACAGCGAAACCCTCTTTCTGGGAGGCAGGAGCGATGCCTTTGAAGTTCAAGTCTGAGATAAGGAGGTTTTTCAGCAAAGTGGATGGCCTAAAAGAGAGCTGGTGCAGGATAAATCTGCTCTCCGCAGCATCTGGCCGCTCAGGTGGCTGCAGTGCTCCTGCTCTGCACCCGTGGCTTGGTGCTGAACAGGAGACACCTGATGATGGCTACAGAAACGGCGTTTTTTACATAGAAATATGAAATATAACTGAAGAAAAAGAAACCCATCTGCATTTATGCAACTCCAAAGCTTAAACATGCATGTCTGTCTTGCATAAATAAAATATGTATATATAATTGCATAAATAAATGCGTTTTAATATTTATAGAGAGTTTATGTCATTTCTATATGTATCCATAATTGGCTAGGCTTACAACTGTAAAATAGGAATACATCTGGGATAGCATGGCTCGCATGAGTGGCTGCTGCATCGAATTCAGCCACGTCTTCCAGATAACGGGGGTGGGCAGGAGGTGCTTGTCCCTGTGTCCAGAACCCTTCTGGCCTGTTTTGCCTTGCTGTCATGAAATCAAAGGCTATTTCAGAGCGGCATAAAGAAATGTTCCTCATCTGTCTTGGGTTTTCCTTCTTAATGTTTCCTGCCCCTGTTTCCTCTGTCACTTTTCAGATAAAGGTCTATGTAAAGACCTGATGGATGATCCAGAGCGTTCCCTGATGCTGTGCAATTGTTCTGTGGTTTCTAGGCTTTGTCACGTCTAATTTTAAATACTGCCTAACGCTTTTCTTCCGACTCTTCTCTTTCTCTAACCTGAATAATCCAGTCAGCCTTTTTTTTATTAAAAAGTATGTGCTGTGCTGTCCTGTCAGAGGAAGCAGTGAGGAGGGTCCACCAGCCCATGCTGGGCAGAAGGGATGGGGCTGAACCCCATCAGCCGTGGTCCTCAGCCCTCAAGTGTAACAACTTCATTCCTTGTTTTCTTTGGTTTTCAAGCGTTTTGCTTTGTGTCAAACTTGTTATGCTGTAAAAGTACAAAATAAGAGATTTCCTCAAACAGCTTTATGTTTTTTGGAAAGCTTTGGGGGTTTTGGTTGGTAAGCAGAGACTGACCAAAACATACCCTAAAAAAAAAGTGTCTTTATGGGAAGTGTAATCATGAGAATATCAGAAATTACAATATATTGTTGTATGCTGCTATACAAAATAATAAAACAAAACCAAATTATTGGAGTGTTTTTCCCTGATCTTGGCAATATATCAGTAAAAACCACAGGTGCTGGGTAGGAAGGTAAGCTCAAGCCCTCCCTGTAACTGCAGATTTGTGACAAGTAGCTTGTTCCCTTGCTGCATGGGTAGTGCTGTGAGGTTTTTTCAGTCGTTGCAGTTGTTCAGGGTTCCTCCATTCTCTGCCCCATCCTACCAAAGCAATGTCTTGGTCAGCACCTGGTATCTTGGTGAACCACGGCCAAATCCTTTCAAGGGCAGGTCCATGTAGGACTTGCACTCTGATTTTTTGGTGTAAATAGGGTGCAGAAGGAGGGTTTGGCATCCAGGAGATTCCTGGCATGGGAGGTTGGATGCGTGGGAGGGGGACAGGGGAATCGTTTGACTGCAGTGAGACGGGTACGTGGGTCTGAAGTCCCAGCCCTGTGTGCAGCTGGGGTTAACGCATCCTGTGTTTGGCATCCAAGTGACCCCCACCCCAAGCCTGCTGAGAGGCAAAGGTTTCTCAAGAATTACCATTTTGTTATCGTTTTAGTTTTAATATTTTAAAATTATCATTTTATCATCATTATTATTTTAAATTAAATGAAGCAGAACTTCTTGCACGTTGTCTCGGGTGGCAGTTTGTGAGACTATTCGGTCACTAGAAATTGCATTAAAAAATGCCATGTTCGTACCCAAGCAATTAATGTAACTTAAGTGCGGAAATACTTCTTTAATTTTTTTTTTTTTTCCCTGCAAGAGCTATTCTGGCTGTTGGAGCAGAACCGGCGTTTGGGTGTTTTTCACTGGAAGTGAAACTGTAGTGTGTTTGTGAAGAATATACATGAAAATAAAACAGCAGACGCTGCTGGAGCTGGGAGGAGGACTTGGTTTCTCAAATATTCCTGCAGCCCATGTGGACTACAGGAAGCCCACAAGGAGGGTTCCTCCAAAACCTCCCTGCACCTCCTTTGCATAGCCTGACCGTGACTTTTTGGTCCATTTTCTCCCCATCCAGGTTCCCAAAGGCACCGACCAGAACTGGGCGCAGAAGCTGTACGACCGTCACGCCGGCAGCCAGCACTTCCAGAAGCCCCGCATGTCCAACACCTCCTTCATCGTCCTGCACTTCGCCGATAAGGTAACCGGGCGCGTGTGACGCAGAAATGGGAAATGCATGGAGGGGAACAAAAAGAGCCTCGCGAAGGAAAATTAGTTTATAGCACCAGTGATCTGCTTTTTGGTGATAGGCATGCCTGGTTGGCAGTAATCTCGGTTTGGTGCTCAAATCTAGATCGGCTTGGAGGGCTTCAGCCTCCGAACTGTTGCGCTAAGCTTTAAATAGTTGTGCTTTCCAGAGGAGAGAAAAATCCTCTTTCTCAAAGCTGTGGCAAAATGAATTTCTGTAAGGGCAGCTTGACTGAAAATGTATTGGAAAAAGGAATTATTTTTGAAGAGCAGGAGCTGCGAGCGTCAGCAAGGCACGGTGTGGAGAAGCACGTGAGAGGTGACCCCGGGCTGATCCCACCCCTCTGAGGGAGAAGGTGCCAGCTGTGGGACTCTAAATCCCAGTGCCTGGTGTTCTAGGGTCTTGTCCATGGGCTCCAGCTTCATTGAAACCCTGATCTGACAGGCATCACTCACAGCAAAGAAGGATCTTAAAAGCTTGCAGTCATCCAAAACTCCTATTTGTTAGAAAAGAAAATGTAAGCCCAACCTGGGGATGTGTCCGAGGAGCCAGACGACATCCAGGTGCTGTGGTCCCAATACAGGTGCTTCTCCAAACTGAGACGCAAGTGGCACTTCTCCTGGCAAAGTTGATACTCACCTTGCCTTAGGCACGTGATTTTGCACATGTATCCTTCACAAATGATATCTCCCTGCAAGTTTTCACTTTTTTTTTTTTTGTGGTTGGTTATTTCAACCAACTTCATATGTAAAAACAACAACAAAAAAGAAATAAAATTTTCTTCTGCCCTCTTTAAATTCTTCCTTTGCATTCCAACCCTCTGCAATTTCAAACCCAAGAAACCTACAAGAGATGCAGCCAGGGCGTCTTTTGGGGTTTGTCAGTTAGCTTACAAGGAGTTCAGGAGTGAACAAAAGAGTGTGTAGCGGTACTGATGATCTTTGCATTTTTAACTCTGGTTTCCATGGAAGTGCGGCTGGGTCCCATACAGAGCAGTTTAGTGACTAGAAACAGTCTGTGTTTGCAGTAAGGATTTTACTTTCATTCAGATCCACTTTCTTTGATAAAAAGGGACCTTTAAATTCCACTTTTTCCCCTGCTTCTCCCCCTCAGGTTTTTCAGGTGAGCTTCTGACAGTAGGGGAGTGGTGGTAGGACACAGCACCTTGTCCCTGTGCAGTTGGACTTTACCGTCTGGGCTTCTTCCTTTGTATCCTACTAGGTGGAATACCAGAGCGAGGGATTTCTGGAGAAGAACAGGGACACCGTGTACGAGGAACAGATCAACATCCTGAAAGCCAGCAAGGTAAAAGCAGCGAGTCGAGAGGTGACCGGCACCGCTGCTCGCCAAAGCGTGAGCTTCATGCTTGCCTCCCTGTGCTGTGCTGCAGCAGGCCGTGTACGCAGAAGTGGTTGGCAAATAAATGGGGTGTGGGGGGTAAGGGGGGAGAGGAGGGACGAGGCTGCTGGGGACTGCAGTTGCACCCAGGTGTGGGTGTGCGCGGTCCTCTGCTCTCCTCCAGCCTGATGTCGGTGTCCCGTTGAGGTGCAGCAGCAAAATCCTCGCCAAATCTGATCCTGTTCTATTTTTTGGTCACAAAAAACCAGGAACAGTCAGTTATGGGGCAGTGTAAATCCCACTTTGCTCTTGCTCAGAGCTCCCCACCCATCACCTGGCACCGAAGGTGTTCACAAAAGCATGTGGAGCCACGGTGATCCTGGGATTAAAAGCCACGGTCAGCAGTGTAGTGTGTATGTTGTGGGTAGCGTTGCTGCTTCTACTGCCCTTCTGTACAAAAATGACTGTTCCCCTTAGCTGTAGTCCATCATACTTGGCCCTGTGACTTTTAATTACTTTAATAATTACTATGCAAAAAATAGGTTTAATATAAAATGGTGGAAATCTGGTGCAAACTCTGAAACGTTCCAGCTAGTGTAGAACTATTTTACACTGCCACCAATATGTAGTATTAAAAAATCAACATATGTTGATGAACAGTCCCGAGGGCTGTGAACTCGGTGGGCTGTTGGAAGCAGAAGAGCAGTAGTTGTGGGGCTCTGCAGGCTTCGGTGTGGGTCGTGCCTGCAGTAAACGAGCGCTTGGCAAGTGGGTTTCATGTCAAAGACTTTACAGTTGCATGTATGAACTGAGCAGATTTTATGGTGACTTCCAGTCCTGCGCTCTTCTTCTCCTTGAGCGCTTGGGTGCTCCATCTGCGCTTGGGTGGATTTGGTTAAAAGTGTCAATAACACAGATATCTAAGGAATTTCAAGTCCTTGTTGTTTAAAACCAAACCAAAAGTTCCTCCCTGCAAGCTCAAGTCTTTCACTGTCAGTTAATGAGTTGAAACTTTAAACGACCCTAACCCTTCCAGAGGCAACTCCCTTAGAAGTTAGGATGAAAATCCAGCCCTGCAAAGTCCAACACACCATCCAGCAGCCAAAATTGAGACTGCTTGACTCTGGGGCACGGTTGTTTCCACCAGACCTTGTGTGTGGTGTGGGGAAGGGATATACCTGCTTTTCTCCAAACCATTTCAAAGCCTCCCCCAGCATGGACCAACTTGTTAACTTGCCTTTGGTTTTTTTTTTGCATGACAAATTCATGGATCACCCCTGCATGTTGCAGTGTGTCGATGTGTCACGTATCCAGATTTCTCCTCTTTGTGCCACCCTCCCTTGGGTTTGCAGCTGGGTGTGACCTTCCAAATGCCACCCTAAATAAGGAACATGGTGAGGGGAGAAGGAGGAGGTAGTATTTTGGGGAGTATTTTAAGCGGGAGTTGGTTCCTGGCAAGGTAAGAAGAGATGAGAATGGGAAATTATTTGAGCGTTGTCAGTGGCTTGCCCTACGTCTCGGCAATGGATCCATACGAGGATGGCAAGATGTACAATTTTCTCATCCATGGGGCCAGTTGTGAGTCTAATAACGGTGAAGCTGGGCTTTAATAACGCCTAAGTCAAGAGCTCTGTGCATTTGGGAAGCTCACAGCTTTCCCAGGGTGAAGACCAGGCATGATTAGAGCTTATTAGAAATGCCAGGTAACCTGCAGGAATAATTGATGTTGGATGATGAATTATTTAGCCAGTGCTGAAGCTGCTCTTGGAGGTAGTGCTGCAGAACTGGCCATGTCTGGTAGGGATTTCTGTTTGACTTCTCCCTGTAGGTGCAGAGGGATGTAACTCGTTGGAGCAGTTGTGGAGTGGTGGGGACGGTGCCACCTGCAACTCATTCCTTAAAAAAAAAGGAAATTTAAAAAAAAACCCACACCTGAAATGGATTATTAACAGCATCTCCACTTCTCTCTTGCATGTCATATGATAGCGGAGCAGGCTGGGCTTTGATTTAATAGCAAAAAAAAACCCAACCCAAACCCTGCTCCTTGCAGCTGGTTTGCTTGACCTAAAAAGCCAGTAATGTGTCTGCCTCAGCACCAAGGGTTTGGGTTTACCTGGCTGCGAACTAAACTAAAGCTCCTTGGGATCATGCGTTGGGACCTTGGGGGTTCACGGTGGTGGCTCTGTAGGTGACGCCAACATCTGAATTTGTGATCCAGCTTAAAACGCTCTGAAATGCTCTTGGCTCTCAGAGTCTTTGGGTGATAGTTTGATGAACTTGGAGCCATTTCTTTAATGATGTGGGGGCGGTGGCTGTCATCAGCCCGTGCCGATGCCGTGCTGTCCTGGAAGGAGGAGCAGCGCTTCCCTTGGCAGGAGCGTCCTCACCCTCCTCCTGCAAAGTCTCCAGAACCTGATCGTCTGCTCTTGCTTTTTCCCCGTTGGCCGACAAAGTTGGTTATCCTGATTATTTATTTTTTTTTGCCTCTCACCCTCAGGGGTAGAAACAAATAAATTTTATTTTTTTTTTCTTTTGCTGTAAAAAACGACCTGGTTTCTCTGAACCAACGAGAGCAGCAATGGCAGTGCTGAGTCTGCTGCTCCGATGTGTTAATTTGACTGAAACTCAAATTTTTGCTGCAAAAGGCTGTGCCACGAGGACTCTGTCCTGAGCTCTGGATCAGGCCTGCATACCCTGTTCACTGCAGTCTTTATATTCCCGCTAAAGCAATCCGCAGGGCAAGGGGGGGAACACTCAATTTAACACGGCAAGGACTTAAGCACCTCTCCGTCAGCAAGTGCATCGCTGATGGAGCGCTCCCACCGAGGCAGAATTGCCTTCTGCTAATTAGAGTGCAATTGCTGCCGTCAACAAGATGGTGAAGGGGACTTTATAAAGCAGCTAATTAGTTTTGTTAGTGCTGGTCAGCTAAAAGAGTTGAGAGTTGATGTTCTTTGAATTAAGGAAACTGATTTGAATACTGATGGAAAGCATATGGGCATGTTGTTAAGATATTATATTCCGGTTCTGTGTAATTACAAGTAATGCACCAGCAGTTTCGACTCCGCCACTCGGGAAGGGGAGATCTGTCCTTACCCCCAGCATCCGTGGAATAGATCCTGGGCTGCTACAGATGGTCCCAGTTCTGCTTTAAGCAAGCAAGAAGCTCACCTCTGAGATTCTTGTCGAGCGTTTGTGCAGGAGCACAGCACTCCTGTTACTAACAGCCAGCAGACAGAGGGGTCGATGGTGCCCACAGCTATGTGTTGAGAAGATATTTTGAACCCTGAAATTGCAGCTGGGGGTTTTACCGCGTTGTCAAGCGCGAGATAGTAAGGAGGAGCCTGTGTTGGATGTCACCCAGCATCAGCCATGTGCCACCCAAACGTCCCATGTTTGCAGGAGGCAAAGCACCCAAGACAGCGAAATGTCATCGAAGTACAACAGCTGTTAGGATGTCTTTTGGGGACGGGGATAGAGGGTTAGGCAAAGAAGCTGTGAGCCTTTATTCTGGTAGGAGTTGAGTGAGCTGCAGAGATAAAAATAAAAGCTGTGAGTATGAAGCAGGTCCTTCGCAGGCGCTGTCCTGGAGCCTGCGAGCGATTTGCTAATGCAGTACGAACAGTTTCCTTTCCACAGTGGTATTTAGGCTGCTGTGCTAGCAAGCTGTGCGAACAGCCAGCGGGACCAGGGCTGGAAATGTTCCTGTCTTAGTCCAGGGACATGGCAGAGAGCCAGGCAGCCCTTCACTCCACGGGGCTGTCCGTTAATGTCTGTGAAGCGGTAAACCTCTGCCTTCTTCTTGGGATCTTAATGGAAGTACAACCAAGTTTGGCTTTTGGAGGAGCCTGGGATGGAGTCAAGAGTGCTGTGCGGTGCACTGCTGCCCCATGTCGGTGTTTTGGCATGGACACAGAGTGCCATAGACAAGGGGTACGTGGTGCTGGTGCCCTATCCCATGGGTGCTCCAGAGCGGGCATTGCTGGTGGTCCGTGTGCTGCTGGGGTGGCATCACAGGTGCTTTGACAGTGTCACCAGGCTGGAGCCCAGCCCAGCTTGCTGATAAGTGAAATCCCACCTGGTGACAGTGTTTTTCTTACATTTAAGAATGTACTGTTTGAATGTAAGCACAGCTGTAGCTGGAGCCAGTGCAGGTGCATAGCTGGATCTGAGATGTGGAAATTTAACAGCTAAACAGACCAGATTTATTATGACTTAGTATTCAAGTTCTACAGCCTAATGCAAATTTGAAGATCCTGCCCCTTAAAAAGAATAAAAAAGCATTAACTGCATTTGCCAGCTCACCTGTTCTCCCATTTATGAAGTGGAAATGTTGCTGCTGGCTTGCCAGAAACCCCAGACTTCAGGGATCTGAGGGGCTAAATGTGGCGCTTTCAGGGCTGCAGAGCGGTCCTGCTGTCGCCTTGCTCGTTCACACGGAAATGCAGGTAATTAGCGAGGAAGTGCTGGTGTCTCTTAATTGTTCGGAAAAGCAAGGGTGCCTCTGGGAGCGGGGCGCTGCCTGCCCTGGCGTGGAGCCCCCCTCCCTGGGGCAGCACTCTTGCTGCGCTCGGGACTGAATGAGTAGCTTGAAATGAAGCCTGGGAGCAAGAGTCACTTCTCGTTCAGGAGGTTTTGTGCCGTGGACAACACGGCAGTGATGCAGCCTTTCAGCTAGCCATCCGCTTTTTTCTGCTTCTTTGATTTAATGCACGCATTTTCAAGGTTCGTTGAACTGCGAAACAGAATGGCCGGTGGTCCTGCTGACATGGTTTATGTAGGCAGTGCTTCTTGATTTCACTTTATTGCCCTTTTCTCCCTTCCTGGTTTAAGATGGGTGGAAAACGACTGAAGGATTGTGACTTGGGTGGGTTCATTCAGCCAAGAGCAGGGCCAGAGGTGCTCAGGCGTTGTCTTTTGTTTTAGTATCAAATGGTAGCAGACTTATTCCAAGATGAGAAGGATGCTACACCCACCACTTCCATGGGAAAGGGAACATCCAAAATCAACGTCCGTTCTGCCAGACCAGTGATCAAAGCTGCTAATAAGGAGCACAAGAAAACGGTGGGGCACCAGGTAAAGTATGATATGAGTGAGTTGGTTGACAGCAGGGGAACGGGACAGAGGAATCCAGATACATTTTTACAGTTAATGTCTCGTTTCTTCAGTTTGAAGCAGAGATAAATAAAAAGCTGTTGTGGGGGAAAGTGAGGAGACTTTCCCATGACCCGTGTTGGAGGGTGGGAACAGTTTGGCTGTTGCATTTTGGACACCACATAGCGCTGTCTCTGGAAGAGCAGGCTCGAGTAGTCTTGACTGGAAGCAGTTGAGACATGGTCTAAGGAGGGTGGAGGCCACTCTGGGGTTCACTGGACTGTATCACAATGCACTATGTTGCTCATAAATTGAAACAGCTTGAGAAAAAGAGCATTTTTTTCCCTTGTGTGGACAGTCAAGCAGTGCAACAGGGGCTCAGAGAGGTTGTGCTGTCTCCACCCTTGGAGATTTTTCAAGACCCAACTGGGTGAAGTCCCAAGGAAATGCTTGTTGCTCTTGTACCTCATATAGCTGGAAGACCCCAACCCACCAGTGTCTTCTCTGAATTGCTCCTGCATGTGCTGGGCTGACGGAGGCGGGGGGGGGTGTCACACCGTGTCACATCCAGAGGCTGGCACTGCCAGGTGTCTCGCAGCGCCTGCCGGCGTGGGTTGCATGGTACAGCACCTTCACCCCTCTTCAAAACGAGTGGTTTTGTCTTTCAGTTCCGCAACTCGCTGCATTTGCTCATGGAGACGCTGAACGCCACCACCCCGCACTACGTGCGCTGCATCAAGCCGAACGACGAGAAGCTCCCCTTTAAGTAAGTGGGCTTTCAGACGAGCAAATGTGCTCAGCAGTGTAGCAACAGAGTGTGCTTTGGACTTTTCCTCTTGCTAAAGAGATTGCCCCTCTTGTGATGCTGTTCCTGTAACTGGGAAGTCCCTGTAGGGAAGTCCTTGGGTTTCATTATGTGGTTTTGTGCCCCTGAAATGAAGACCAGTGTAAGTCCTAGTAACTCATAGATAGTAACTCTGCTAATAGTGAGCATCCTTGCTTTGCAATAATAGCACCTTTGTACAATTTCATCTTCGAATCACTTTGATTTAAATAGTTATAGAACTAAACAGCAAAAAATAGCAGAGAAAGAAAAAGCGGAGATAAGTAGTCTGCTTGTAAAATGAACAAAAACGTCCTGGTCCTTCCCAAATAAAGGTGGAAGAAGTAAAGACGTGACTTATGTCAACTTCAGGCAGGTTTCCAGGTGAGTGAAGCAAAAAGCCAGTCTTGATGGCTGGCAAAAGGCCAGTCCTGATCTTCCGCTGTGGTTCAGAGGTGTATCGCAAGCTGCGAACATTGTGAGGAAATAGCTGTTAGCCTCATTTGACCTCTTGATAATGTGTTTATGCTCTATTTTGTTCCCTGTAACGCCGAAAAAAGCTGGGCCATTAGTATGCAGGGACCTCATAGATCTCGTTGTGATGTCTTCTGAAGGCCCTGGCGTAAACTGCAGGTGGTGACATTTAAGAAGCGGGGGTTATAGTCGCAACCCGTGAGCGGGGAGGCATTGCCCTGCAGCTGATCCAGTGCAGTCCGAGCTCTCCCAGTGAGCACGGTGCCACCTCGGAGCGCAGAGACGGCTCCAGCAGCGTCCTGCAGATGAGGATGAAGTGCCTGTAAACAGCCTCGCCCTTGGATGTGGTATGCTGGTGGATAGGTATCCAGCAGGAAGCTTCCCTGGCTTGACTCTTCTCCCTCTGCAAACAGCAAAGTGAAAGGTGTTAATGCTTAGAAGACATTCAGGAACCGGCTTATATTTAACTGATTCGTTAGCTAATTAGTTAACAGCTCTGGAGAAGGCTGTGTTGGCTGTCAGTGCTGGGATGGCAGTTTCCCTGGTCTGTTTTATCTATTTTATGTACTGTTTTGTTGCTACTGGAGACACTTAGGGCCTCAGTCTCCTGTCGCCTATATCAGAGGTTGTCCATTTAAACGAAATGCAGGATTACACTTCTTGTTTGATTGCTTTCTTTAGATAAAGCTCAAAAGTGTTTTCTGACATTCTGTAGTGGAAGTGTGGTAGATGCTTGGCATGGTGAAATGGCTTCACCTTTCCAAAGGCTGTTTCCAAGTCTCCATGTCCGTACTTGGCTTTACTTTCAGCCCATCCGTCTTCGCTTCTTTGCCTTTAACTTTGCGATTCATGTGGTGCCCAGTCAATACTGTTTTATAAATGTGCAAGCTTCTGATTGTCAGGATGCAGTTAATTACCTAAGTGAACTCGGTTGTACTTCTTAGATATTATGGGTAGCAAATACCAGGAGGATAACTCTGCTTGTGTCTGCTCGCAGTCCAAGTGATGACTCGGTTGGATGTGATGCTCCCCATCTGGCAAATGTCAGAGTTGTCAAAGCTCAGGATTTGGGGAGCAAAGGGCAAACCAAAACAGACACAAGAGTTGAAGGACCAACGTGCAGGTGACTGTCTGCAGCCAGCAGTGTTGTAGGAGTCACCGTGGGCTGGAAACGACAGGAAGGTGCTTTGGGTTGGGGTGGTGGTGTTGCATCCCCACCTACAAGCCAGAAAGCACCGCTACAGGTGTCTTGTCCTGGGGATTCTTCTGCAAGAGATTATCTCTCTCCCTACTGATCGTGGATTGCTTAATTGAAATTGTGGTCAGGGAATCTTGATCAATGTTGATCTCTCTGCCACCAGCTTGAGGAATTTGTATCCTTACCATGGCTCAAATAAAATCTGTTTGTTTATATATAAAACTTAGGTGAGGAGAATACTGGGATGGCTGTAAAGAAGTCTCTATTTCAGAGGCGCTTGTGCTGAAAAATACACCGTGCCAGGAGACATTAGTGAAATGAAACCTCAATGGCACTGCTCTGGGTTAGCGTTGAAGTGGTGTTTTGTAGCATGCAGAACACTCGGTGTTATGTTTGTTGTTCAGAGGAAAAACACAGACCTTTTTCCTCTTCCTAAAACACGACGTTTTTCAGCTTACAAGAACAGCACATTTTTGCTCAAATGAGATGTTTAGCCTGGAGAAGAGAAGGGACCTAATAGCAGCCTTCTAGTACTTACAGGAGCTCCCAAGAGGACGAAGCCATGCTCTTTGCCGCGATGTGTGGTGGGAGGGTGGGAATCGATGGCTACAAATTGACATGAGATGTTCAGACTGGAGATAAAGAAAGATATTTTTTTTGTTTGTTTTCTTCATGAGGACAGTCTGTCAGTGGAGCAAGCTGCCCGGAGAGGCTGTGCAACCTCCATCTTTGGAGCTTTTCAGCCCTTGAGTGGATAAAGCTCTGAGCTCTGGGTCTGCCCACACAGCTGCCCCAGCTCTTGAACATGAGAGGCTGGACTGGAGACCTCCTAAGGTCTCTTGCAACCTGCCTTACTCTCACTCCTACTGTACATCTTGGCACAAATGTAGTTTGTTTCTTGAGGAGGTGAGGGGTGTCAGTCTTCCAGCCCGGAGGAAGCATTGGCACCACACAGTGCCGTTTGCTGTATCTGACTGCAGGCTGTGTCTGAGGTTGATCCCTCATGGAGAAGACTTCAAAGAGAGAGGTGTGAGGGGAATGCCTGACTTCAGCTTGTACCTTTGACAATTTTCCTTCCAAATTCTATTTCAGGCAGGGTTTGTGATCTCTTACTCGGGTTTCAAGGCCAAAAGCAGCCTGCCAGGCTCTTCTGCCTGCCACAGCAAGGAAAAGGAGTGCATAATAATGTGTATTGTCCCACTTTTCAGCTCTTTATTTCAGCCTCAGCCCATAGTGGAGTTGTTGCTAGAGAGGGTCCTGGCTTTCCATGCCGACAAATGACTGCAGCCACTTTGGTTACTGCATTTCACCCCCACTGAGCAGGGCTTGGCTGCGTTGCAGAAAGTTCCCCTTGTGTACAATGTAGATTGCCTGGGATCTTCCAGGACTGAAGCTTCCCCGTCCATCTGCCAGTCCTGTTTATTATTTATTGTTACAGAAATTGTACTCTTGTGGATTCTTCCTTGAAGTGAGTGACAGCCAAGACTGATTTTCCACCCTGCATGGTGTTTGTGGTGGTGTAGTGAATAACTTGCTGTATACTTGACAGGTCCAGAGAGTTTAAAAATATGCACAAAGGACTATTTCTTCTGCTGCTTTTGCACTGCAGAGGCCAGGCAGAATTACTCATGGAGTCTTGACCTGTGGCTGTAAATAATTTGGGCTTTCAGGAAGGGACAAGCAGGTACCTCAGAAGCTTTTGTTCCTCACCCTTGTTCTGGAAGCCTAACACAGCCATGGACATCTACATTTTATGAGTCCAAGCTTGATCCAACGACCTCTTCCAGGGTCCAACATCTTGAGTGGGAGAGCTGGGACCTCTTTGTGCGTTTGGTGTCAGGGGTGGAAGGAGGGAGAAGGAATGGGGGACACTGGTACCTGGAGTCACTCTGTGCAAAGGGAGACCAAGCTGAATGTGGGCTCATGCCAGGAACCAGAGAGAGCACAGCCCAAGTATTCCCTTCTCCAGGCTAAAGAGCCCCAGGTCTCTCAGCCTTTCCTCGTAGGAGAGATGCTCCAGTCCCCTCATCATCTTCGTAGCCCTCTGCTGGACTCTCTCCAGCAGTTCCCTGTCCCTCTGGAACTGGGGGGCCCAGAACTGGACACAGCACTGCAGGTGTGGCCTCACCAGGGCAGAGCAGAGGGGGAGGAGACCCTCCCTCGACCTGCTGGCCACACTCTTCTTGATGCCCCCCAGGATGCCGTTGGCCTTCTTGGCCACAAGGGCCCGTTGCTTTTGTTACCAGCTAGGTAGGCTCAAACCATGACACATGGTCAACTTGTTTTCTACCAGAACTCTCAGGTCCTTCTCTGGTTATTCCTCCCCAAGTGCAGGACCATCCACTTGCCCTTATTGAACTTCATTAGATTCCTCTGCCCAGCTCTCCAGCCTGTCCAAGTCTCGTTGAATGGCAGCACAGCCTTCTGGCGGGTCAGCCACTCCTCACTCCTCCCAGTTTAGTATCATCAGCAAACTGGCTGAGGGTGCCCTCTGTCCCTTCATGCAGGGCGTTGATGAGTACATTGAACCAGCACTGACCCCTGGGGAGCACTGCTAGTCACAGGCCTCCAATAGACTCAGCACCACTGATCACAACCCCCTGAGCTCTGTCCTTCAGCTGATTCTCAACCCACCTCACTGTCGAATACCTTGAATTTCCACATGACACCTACTAAAGCCCTTAGTCTGGAATGAGCACCTGTGTTCTTGGTAAACTTAACAATCTACAGACCCATGGGATCTGTTAATTACTCTGTTTTGGTATGGAATATATCAGATTTACTTTGCTGTTGAATTTGGTTTCTTTCTGAAAGTATGTTGCCATTGTTGCCCTTGGAGCTGCCAAAGTAATACTGTCTGGTTCATCAGGCAGCTTGTGGTGGGGTAGCCTGTTTCCTTCTTTATTGTAATTGTATTTCTTTACATAGCTGGGTAGATTATGGCTGTAGAGACTAATTGCAACAGTTTGTTATCTTGTCCTAAGAGTACCGCTTGGCATCGATAGTGGGGCAATAGCAAGGTCTCTTGCACTTGAAAAGCACAACATCTTGTGACATAAGGACGAGAGCAGAGTTTTTTGTCCACAAATTCCTGTCCCCAAAAGAGTCACTATCAACTGGGTTGATGATGGGGGTTCCTTCTCACTGTGTTAATCTCTGTCCTAAATCTAATTGCAGATTTGATCCGAAGAGAGCAGTGCAGCAGCTGAGAGCTTGTGGAGTGCTGGAGACCATCCGCATCAGTGCCGCTGGCTTCCCGTCCAGGTACCGTGCTGGGAATTCGGCATGGCGCTGTGCTCTTTGTCTCAGCAAGTTCATTAGCTGGGGGAGGGAGAGAGGAGGAAAACACTAGCGTTTTCTGGACAAACAGGGTTTATTTAGGTTGGTTTATATCCAGGATAGATTTTGCCCTTCTTAAAGTTTCTTCATTTTGCAAACACCCCCCTTAGGCCCTGGGTTCCTCAAATCTAGGAGATTTGTCACCAAGTGATGAGCTGCAAAGTGAGGCAGCTGGAGGGTGCGTTGGCTTGTGTCCAGTGTTTCAGCTGGTCCTTTCAGTTTGGTCCTGAGAAGTAATTTGCTGTGGCGAAATCTTTGGTGCGTGGCAGATAAAGGAATCCAGCTTGGATCCCATATGGAGGATGCGTCTCTATATCCTCTGCACCCAGCTTGCCTGGAAGCAAGTGTTGCCCTAGAGGGCTTCTTCCCTGCTTGCCTGAAGCTCACAGAATGGCAGGGGTTGGAAGGGACCTCTGGAGATCGTCTAGTCCAACCTCCTTCTGAAGCAGGTTCACCTGGAGCAGGTCGCTCCCCGTAGAAAAGCTCCTTGTGCTGTAGTTTGCTTTCCCTTTTTTTTTTTTTTTCTGGCTTCAGACACCTTCTGCAATAGTCATTTCAGCCAAAAAAATTTGATTATACTTGCAGAGAAAGAAAGTAAGGATTGTAAGTTATTGTTGCAGACTTCCACACTGCACACCCAAAGCATCCTAGGCTTCAAACTTGCATCTTGAAAAGGAAAAGGTAGGGGTGGTGTGGCTCTCGCTGATTGTGATAAAAAATTCGAAAGAGGTTTTTAGGCTCTCATAAATCAGAAAACATAAACTATAAATAAGCCCTGGAGATGACAAGGGCAAATAATTCTAAAAATGCATCAATTGCGTTTTAGTGCCAAGCAGCTTTGTGTTAATGTCAGCATAGCCATCAGCCTTTTTACATGGAACAAAGGAGTTATAAATACGCTCAGTGAAGAGTCGGCTGAGCGTGATGCTGAATGCCATGAGAAAGTCCCTGTCCCGGTTTTTGGGGAGGGGTATGCTGCCTTTCCAGTTACTCTCATCTCCTGCAAAGCTGCAAAGAGCCTCTGATGGTTGATGGAGGCTTCTGCGCATTGACATGAGGTAGCTCTGCTGCATGTGACCTCCGTGGAGAGGCAAAAACTGGTGAACGGGATCTCCTTGGCTGACTGAGCTCAAGTCCTTAAGAAAGAAAGGAGGAAAAAAAGAAAATAAAGAAGAAAAGTTTTATGGAAACCAATTTGTCCCTTTCCTCTGCCAGCATGGGAGGGTGGCAGAGGTGCGTGGAGACTTTGGTCCTCCCGTTGGGTGTCTGGTCCTGTTAGAAGACCCAGCACCACCTTTGTCTCCCATCTGTGAAGTCTTCAAGGCATTTGTGGAAGTTATTAATAAACAGTTGCTCCTAAATTACATGATCTGTAAGGCATGGAGGGAACTTAAAAACCAGTCTTTTATTATCTTCTTTGTTGAAGTACCTGCAGGGTCAAATCCATCTGTCTGTCCTCTTGAAGTGAAAGCCCTAAAGCAGTGAAACAGCTGTGGTTTCGGTTGGAAAAGGCCACAGAAAGGCAGTTTTATGCTCCTTAAGCAAGTGATCGTGCTCCCCAGTGCAGTGGGTCCTCCTCACTCTGCAGTTGTGGGTCTCAGGGGAGGTTTGGGAAGCTCTGACTTGAGGGTTGTCCATGGGTTTTGCAAGTGGTCTCAGCGTAGCTGTAGGGATGCACTGTTCCTCTCCATTCGTAATTCTCCTGACAACTTGTAGCGTTTTTCCATCTCTTCTCACTTAGCTTTGCAGTTTAGGCGTTATGGCACTAAAATTGATGTGTGATTAGTAGCTGGGGAGAGGAGAAACCACCGCAGCAGCTGGAGACCAGCCAAGACCTATCTATGGCAAATAATTGACCAGTGCGAAGAGCACTCCATCCTGAAAAACTCAAAAGGGATGCTTCTGGCTCTGCTTGCGTGCTTTTGGTTCTGAGGTCTTTTTTTTTCCCAGGACACTAAGAATACAGAACTCTTCCATCACTGCAAGCTGTCAGCTTTTGTTCTTCTGTCAGGGAGACCAAAAAAAAAAGGGTGCAAATAGCTCTTTCTGCCTTTGAGAGTGACCTTCTCCAGTTCAGTGTTTGGGATGCTTCAAGGACAGGTTTTTTTGTTTATTTGAATGTTTCTGGAAGATAACTGTATGCGGGAACAGCTCTGCCCTAAATGAAATACTCACTTTGGGTTCTGGCAGTTCTTCGCCCTCCTTGGTCATAAAATCCCAGTTTTGAAAACCCAGACCCAGCAGTTGTGCAACATCGTTGAAAGATTGTGAATAATCTGTATGTTTGAATTGGCTTTGTAAAGTCGCTTGGCAAAAGCTGCTTGCGCAGGATCTTATTTTGTGGGAAATGTAATAGATGTTTTAGTTCTTTCTGCATTTTTACGTTCGTGCAATGTGTCTTGGTTTTCATCACAGTGAGCGTTGATTGTTCCTCTGTATTGCCTTATATTTTGAGACAAGTTGGATTATAATGGGTGATGAAGGATAAAAACCGAAAAGGAGGGTCATTGCTTTAGATTTAAACCCTGCGTGAAGGCTATAAATTTAAGCCACTTAAAATAATAATGGAAAACTTGATCTTTGTGTGTTTTGCTTCACATGGGTGTAAGCAATTTACCTTTAGAGCAACAGGGAATTTTCAAAATGTTTTATCTGGAGAGAAGTTTTATTACAGAAGCAGGAGAACATGCTTATTTTCATCCTGTAGTATTTACATCTGAATATGTCGCAGCGTGCTGTCACGAGAGTGACTTCTGAGGGTGATGTGGCTTTGGGTCAAAGATCGCTGGATAAAGCCACCTTCATGCTTCTCCATCACCGTTACTTTATGGGTTGAAGAACTGAATGTTTTGAGGCTTTGATAATTTTTTTACCTGGTTCTTTTAAGAAAAGAAAGTAAGTTTTGGTGTAATTTTTAGTGTTCTTCAACCCATGTAAGTCATGATATATTCCCGCTGAAAGATGAAGCCTCACACTCCCCGCTTTGGGTACGCCTGGCTTTATTTTATCATTTCCATGGTACGCTGCACTCTGCCACTATCTCCAGTAAATTGAAAATGTATCATTTGGTTTGAAATGTTACGCAGCCGTTAAGAAGTGTGTTTGCTAGCAGGTACCTAAATGACTGTGATGAATGGACTGTCTTAGACGTGTAGGTGGTAAATCTGTCATCAGCTTCTGTGGGTAAAGTGTGGAAGAGGTCTCTGTACTATAAAACCATTCGTCTTCTTTGTAGAAACTGGCTACATAAAGATTAGTCTGTAGAGAATTAATCGGTGCAGATCTCCATTAATAACAAAATACTCTTTAAACCAAGTTTTTTCACTTGCGTTTTGTCAAAACTCGACATTTTTTTTTCTTGCTGGTTCTGGTGGCTTCCAGTCAGTGGGACGACAGCAGCGGTCTCCCACCGTGCCAGCATTCTGAATAACATTGTCGTTGCGGTCTCTCCGAAGCACTCGTATTGTAGTTCTTACATATGAATTTTATTGTTTAAGTGTTCTTGGCTGCTTCCTGTGGTTGCTGGAGCTGACATGTCAGATCCAGCATCTTTGTACCAATTCAGTAGGAAATCACAGCTGCTAAACTCCGTAAACATTAAGGATTCATAATTGAAATGTATCGTGGGCATCGTTGGCTATAAAATAATTTTTTTTATAAATGTGCATTTAGCTGCCTTGCAGTCATTTCAGGGAAACAAAACCTATAAATGACTTTGGCTACCAGCAGTGCTGTTTGCCCACTTCCAACAAAGGTGGTATGTAAATAGAGAGGTTTTTTCCCCCCTCATTCTGCTCTTTGAATATATTCCAGATAATTTCAAGCCACGCCGGCCTGCATGTTTTAGAGCTAATTGAAAGGCAAATCTGTTCTGCTGCAGTAAACAAGGCAAGAGAAGTTTCCTCCCTGAACAGCAGCTTCTAAAATAATTTCGTATCAAATCTTGGCTCAAATATTCAACCTGCGTGCCCCTAGACAGGCTTCAGCTCCTGTAGAAAGATCAATATAGTCAGCTCCTTACTGCTTAAAATACTGATCCCTTCAGGGGATGGTACTGCCTGGTTCTGGCAGGATTTCTGGGTTTGCTCAGCACATGGTCGCTGGGATGGTCTTGTGTGATGGGGGGCAATGGATTTTTTTACCCTTAGCGGGAAGATTTTACATTCAGTTATTTTAGGCCACCAAAAGAAACCATATTCTGGTTAAATCATGAAAGCTTCAGGCTCCTGTACGCCTTCCAGCTCTTCGCTCAGTGCTGCTGAAATAACATTGCTGTAATCACCCTAGAACAATAGGCTGGAGATATTTTGGGTGGTTGCTGACTGCTTGGAGAGATACTTTTCAGAGGCTTCCTCAAGAGTCAGAACTTCACCCCCAGTTTCTTACCCGAGCCCTCCCTTTAATTGTGAGGCTGTAATTAATCCAGCTGGCTCTGCAGCACGAGGGCTGCTCTTGGCTTTGTATCCTCATGATTTCGGGCAGCAGCCCCTCCTTTGCTTTGCACCCGGTCGTAGCTGTGCGTAAAGCATCCAAATCTTGTTCTTCAAACCACATATACAAGGCTTAGTTTGTGGCGTGTGTTATGGATTATTCCCTTTGTCTGATTCCTGTAGATGACAAAGAAATTGCTGGGGTGACCAAGTCTCCTGCTTCTGGCCCAGCCCTTAAGCACCCTTCTTGCTGCTTGAGCCCAAGGAGAGTTTTTTCCACAGGCATAAGTTATTTTCCTGTGTCCTTCCATTCCTTTTATTGCCTTTTCCCTATAGTGACCTGTGCTGACTTGAAAGCACAGTTTTGATGTTTGAGGTTGGTTGTGCTTCATCACAGCCCTGAGATTAATTATTATGTTTTTCCTTGGGAAAGTTTGAGTAGTATCTGTCCAGTCCTTCATGCCTTCTCCTGCCTCTTTCTCAGTTGTGCAGGTACAAAAATCCTCCTGGTTACTGCTCTTTGCCTACATCACCCATTTGGATCTTATAACATGATAATTATAAGGAATTGTATTTATTTATGGCTCTTGGTGGTTTCCAGCTCCTAGCAATGAGGCATGCCTGTGTTGTGTGGCAGCATCCTGAAAACCCCCTATCTGCTTTCCATGTAATACCTGTCAACAAGTCGAACTGAGGTATAACCTTCCCGTAATCTCTCCTGACCTGCTAAACTGTGGGGTAACGTAGCACATCTTTTGTCTCGTGCTGGCAATCACTTTGTGGTCTAGCAGGAGGGGAGTGAGTTTTCTCTTTTTTTCCCTTTCTCTGCTGAAAATACAGATGTCGAACCTAAAAAACCCCAACACATACGTGTGCAGAATGAAAAAAAAGCGTGCATGCACCAAAGCATCGAGCTGCAGTATTTCTGCACCCGAGAGCTCCCCCTTGCAGGGCCGGGGGATTGTGTTTGTTTCTCTTGAAGCACATAGGTGTAAGGTAATTTTATACTGCTTTGAACCTGAAGTGGTTTAACCAGGCATGTTACATTAAACCTGAGTGCTTTAATTGTTCCTTTCTCGGAGGACGGGGGAAATCCTGTAACTGCACCTGTGAAACCCCTTCCGATTTCTTTTGCTTGTGAACTGGGACTGCAAATATTCCAGTGAAACTCCTGATGAGCCCTGACATGGCAGAGCTCTTGTCTTGATATTCGGTGGACAGTAATACAGGCAGTGTGATCTCAGGACTGTCACCTCCTGCTAAACCAGCGAGGATGGCGAGAGCGGCCTGGCTGCAGCAAGGGTGAAGCCGCGTTGTGGTGTGGAGGTGCAGGGTTTGGCTGTGAACCTCCGGGAGATGTGGATGGGGGACTACGGATGTCACCAGCCCAGCAGAACACTCCAACACTGATCAGTGAGTGTATTCCCTGCTGGTTCCAATGTCTCATGTGAGACTTACTCCTAAAAAGCAAGTTATGTTACTTAAATTAAAGATGTTTCCTTTCAAATAGAAACAAGTGGAAAACCAGTTTTCACGGGTTTGTGAAATGAGGGCGACAGGCTCTGAAGAAAGACCCTCTGTGTGTAGTGACTTATGACCTGTTTTTAGGGAATTTCTGCAGGTGTCTGACTCCTGTTTGAAAGCAGCTGCGGGGTCTCCATCTCTGTCTCGGTGCAGGAAACTGATGGATTTTGCTGCTTTCTGCCCAGCTCGGACCCGTGCCCTCAGTTACACGTGTTGCCTCTTCGCCGACTGCTCTGTGCCAGAGGAGCCTGGGTGGCACCCGCAGGATGATTTCTTCCTCCGAACAGCAGCAGTTAATAATATCAGCCCTAAACTGACCTTGGCAGGTTAACGATAATGCTTCCTCCTTCTCTTTTCTCCCCGGCTCAAGCTCTCCCTGGCTTGAGTAATACCTAAGGCAGGCAGGAGGTCTCCAGCATGGCACGCTTGGCTGGAAGCCTCGGGCGCTGCGTGCTCTGCTTCTCCTATCGGGTTTGATTTGGAGCTGGGTAAAGCCTCAGACGTGCTTAAAATGAAAACGGGATTTTGTTTGCGCAAAGCGAAAGGATTAAGGTGTGGGTACAAAATGGGAAATGTAATTATGAAACGAAGGCATTTAGAAAGCAAGTTTAAGCTTAAACCCTACCTGACACAAGCCCGCAGTCTTGCATAATCTTTGTGCTCCGTTTTGCAGTGCCTCACACCAGAGCGAGCTCCCCATAGCAGATTTATTTATTTTTTTTAGCAATAATCCAGTACTTTCGATCATTCGAGGGTGGGTAACCTTGTGGAAGGTGTCCCTGCCCGTGGCAGGGGGCTTGGAACTGGATAATCTTAAAGCCCCTTCCAACCCAAACCAGTGTGTGTTTCTATGACTGTCCAGCCCCAGGGCTAGCCCATGTAGGTAGGGATGAAACTTTCGCTAAATCTGGCTACTCAGAGCTGTTCAGAGCAGTATGAGCATGGGAAACGCTCCCATCACAACTCCCTTCTTGCTTCTGTCTTTAGGAGCCCTCAATCTTACCTTTTACTTCAGGAACAACGTCAAGGACTCTCTCTAGTTTTTGCCATTCCCATATTCTTTGCAAAAGGTATCCTGGGTGCAATGTGTCCGTGCAGGAATTGTGTGGCCCTTATATCCCAGCTTCCAGCTTTCAAGAAGTTCCATTACAGATGAAGTGTTTTACAGAGACTGCAGTCTTGAACGTGAGAGGTGCTCAGGTGGTGTGACATCTCCCCCAGCCCCACCGCTGCAAACTGGCCAAGTGTAAGGACCCATCACAAGCATCGCTCCGGCCCTTTGCAATTCATTTTGCCTTTCTTCCCCCCACTCCTAATCTCTGGAAGTGGAAAAATAGGAAGAACTGGGTGAAATAATGCAAAAATAAAGGTACACGTGGGGCTGCTGGGTGGAGGAGGTGATGTTTCTGCGTGGCTGTTCTTCATACGGTGTATTCTCCTCTGCCAGAACATCCATGCGGGTAAGGATCAGGCTCACAGATGGTTTCGTTGAGTGAGGGCAGAGATCAAAATCGCTGCAATTCTCTCCCATTTTTTTTTAATGCATATTTTTTTGAAATAACGATGGCCGTACTTGACATTGCTGGAAATGCCTCGTGTTTTAATGAAAAACTCAGGTTTTGAGGGGTCCATAACTCAACTGTGTTAACTTGGAGAAGGCTGAAACTTGGCAGATGCTGAACAAAAAAAGATCCAGTCTGCGGGCTCCACATCTAACAACGGTGGCAGGAGGTGGTATTTCCTAGCAGTAAGATCCAGTGCTCTAGTTCCTGAAATTAGTGTTGCGTGTTTGGAAGCTTCGCTGCTGGCAACAGTGGGGCATCTTTGAAGTGGCTGCTTTGTCTTTTCTGAGTCCAAAAGATTTTGTGTTTGTTTTAAGGGTGTTGGCCACACAGCTCAACATGGAGTGATTAGTGAATCGATTCAAATTAATATTCAAGAGTTGGGAAAAGCAAAATAAGGATTTGATTCATCCACTACCATCTTACCAAGATTGCTTTTTAAAATTTTGTATTTGCCAAATTAGAAGATCCCTGATCTATTCAAAATTAGCATGTCCTTTCTGAAAGGAACAGCTTTGTTTTGTTTGACTTTGTTAAAGTGCAGCAGCTCAGGAGGCACATCAGGAGGAGTGAAAATGAGATGATCCATGGCCTTTCTGTTCCAGGCTAGAAATGCACTGAAAAGGTCATTCAGTGGCAGGGGAGGGCTGAGACCTGGGGTCAGGTTTGGGGTGACCAAACTTCTTTCAGGTGGCTTTGATCCATGCTGAGGGTAGTGGTGAGAGATCCCTCGCTATCTTGAGTTTTGTATTTTGACTCATCTGTGACTCCAAACGCTTTATTTTAAGGAAATAATGCCCAGCATGCAGACTAATCCCATGTATGCTCTGCTTTCAGGTGGTCCTACCACGACTTTTTCAATAGGTATCGTGTTCTTATGAAAAAGAGAGACCTCTCGAAGAACGACAAGAAGCAGATCTGTCAGACCGTGTTGAAAGACCTCATTAAGGTGAGCTGGGACCAAATCTTTGGCAATGATTTTTACGGCACGGAAGCTTATGTCTTTGGTATGATCTGAATTGTTCTTCCTGCTCCTACTTCACCTGCTGCTCGTGCAGGTGCTTCTTCAGCCTGGGGATTTTTCCAAAGTGAGATAGTCTTGCAAGGAGGTAGAGAGAGGAAATGTGGTGATGTGGGATCTCTTGATTGCAGTCAAGCCAAATGTACCATTTCAGTGCTGGTGAAATCCAGAGTTTCTTATGGCTGTACATGAAGAGCTGGCCATCTCCAGAGAACTCATCCCTCCAACCCCTGCTGTACTTTAGCTAGCCATAGCTGGAGCATGTTTTAGAGGTCCAGCTTTGGGTACTGTGTACGACATCATGAACCTTACTCAAAGTCAGTTCTGTCACTCCATTGTTAATCTTCTCTTTGCACAAATGAGTAAGAGAAAAATGCAATTAATTGCCCTTTCTTGATGTGTGGGAGACTTTTAATGGCCAGTAGTCTTTTTGAGAAAGAAATCTTTTCTTGAAGTCCTCTGGTGTTGCATTGCTCTATTTAACTTTAAAAAAAACCCAACCAAACAACGAAACACAAAAAAGCAAACCAACCAACCAACCCCCAAAAAAACCCCACCCACCAAAATAAAACCAAAAAAACCCCAAAACCCAACAAACCAAAAAAGCATTCAAAATTTGTGTAGGGATTGAATGCTAGCGCTGCATTCCTCAGTGGGTATATAGATGCTCAAGTAGTTTGGAGTCTAATCAAACCTTCTTCACCCAATTACGTGGAGATGTGAGCTGAGCTGATAAATTTGGTTCAAAGTGTTTTTTAAATTTATATCTACTGAGCAACATAGACTAAAAAAAAAAAAAATAAATAATGTTTGCCTTAATTAAATTTAGTTTCCTTTATGCTTTTGAAAAGGATCCAGACAAGTTCCAGTTTGGACGTACCAAGATCTTTTTCCGTGCAGGCCAGGTGGCATATCTGGAGAAACTGCGAGCAGATAAGTTCAGAGCTGCCACAATCATGATTCAGAAGACGGTGCGGGGCTGGCTGCAGAGGGTCAAGTACAAAAGACTGAGACAAGCTGCAGTCGTCATCCAGCGCTACACGCGTGGGCACCTGGCGCGGAGGTGGGTCCTAGGAAGCCCTCTGAGGAAGGGCTAGGTGGGAGGTTGAGTGGAAAACCACTTCTGGGCACTTGTATGCTCAGCCTGTTCCATCTTGTAGACCTTAAACTTGGGGATTTTGTATGAGAAACATTGAAAATGCTCTGCATGGGGTGTTGCCTTTCAGCTCTGTGAAAACAAGACCCATCTAGTGAGGGTAGGTATCGCTGTGGTGAAAGTTTCTGTGCTAAAGTCAGGGCTCATTCCTGGCCCCTCTGTCCATCTTTACTTGAGGGCAAGAGATCAAAATTCTTGGGCTCAAACTGATTTCGTACCTACATTGATTTAATTTCTAGGTGCTGAGCCAGGGCTGTAGTGTAGGCAGCTAGGCTGTAATCAGATGACTAAAGTACTCAGCGATATTTTGGTGAAAGTGTTTCAGAGAACTAATAGTTTTCTGGGACTACCTCTGGCAAAGGGCGTTCGGATCGGCCAGGGGGCACTTTGCTAGTTGGTATGCGCTCCTCTTCTGCAGGGACCAGGTTTGTGCCTCCTCGGTATCCGAGGGGAATTCTCAGAATTGACTTGCTGTATCCTTTGTAATGAGAAACATCACTCAGAGTCGCTGGCAATGGGGCTATTTACACTACAGAATAACAGAGATGAGTGTTTAACGCTCTCTGGGCAGGAGCCTCAAGCTTCTTCATGGCGGTGGCTTGCTGGGATTTCTGTAGATAGCGCTGCACTGGGGAGCAGGCTGCTGGTAGCAAACGTGGTGGTGGGTGTGAGGGAGCAGGGAAGCAATGTGATAGCATCCCAAGACAGGGGTCACCTTGCATCTTGTGCCCATGTCAAACGCCGCCATTCTTCTGCAGCTAACCAAGCTGGCTTCAGGGACTTCACAAACAGGAACAAGGAGTAGATTGGGGTCCTTTCAGCTTTGTTTCCCTTCTTGTTTTCTGCTTGGAGAAGCTGTGGTGTATTAGCTATGTTTGGTTTTCTTCTCCCTGGCTCTGAGGTAGCATCTGCCCATCAGAAAGTGCTGCTGCCTCATCTGCAGCTCAGGTGACTCTTCTTGCGCTTGAGCGACATGAGTTGCCGCCTGTACGCTACAAGGGTGCTGCACAGTCAGTCCTTCACTCCTGATTGCTCTTCTATCAATTACTGAAGCAACTAAAGGTGAAGAACTTTGATGTTCCTTCCAAGGCTTTCCTCTAAATCATACTGTATTTTGGAAGAACGTCAGAGATGCTAACTGAATTTGTCGTATTAGTTGTGGTTGTGAAAGGGATTGGCATCATGGAGAATCCAGGGATGAGAAGGTCTCAAATAAGCAAAACTGGGCATTTTGGTGGCTTTTATTTAAAACCGAGCACAGATTTCTCTTGTCCTCAGAAGTCCATATACTTCTCTAGGTTCCTGGCTGCAGGTCCCTCTTGGCAGTCTTGCAGCTCACTTGAAGACAAGGCAAATGAGACCTAAGCAATAAGAAGGTGGTTAAGAAAAGGAGAGTTGGTGATTAACTTTGGCCTCTCCGATGGGCTCTCCATGCCCCCCTACAGACTTGGACTCTATATTTGACTCTGCCTCAGCCAACCATCCCTCTAAGGAGGGGAGGAGGAATCCCTGGTGATGCTGAAGTGAGGGAGTACGAGCTAAAAGAGAGGCTGGAAGCAGATGTGCCGAAACCACCTGCTGCAGCGTTTCTTCAACGTGATTTTTCAGTTCACCTCTTCGTGCAGGTTTTGTAGGGATGGCTGTCATCTGAATAACTGCTTTCTCCTCTTTTTGGAAACAGACCATCCCTCATCCTCTTTAGTAAGCTCTGGTTCAGTGGGTCCTAATGAGACACAATCATCGTTGATGAAGGGAATATATAAGCCAATCCGATGTGGCTCTTCTAGTTTTGATATGCTTTTCATAACATAAAGAAGTGTATCAAATGTCTATGTAATGCTTCCTGCTGAGAGCAATAAACAAATCGTAAATTCAGCAAAACAAGCTAATTATCAAATTAAATGGAGGTTTTATGGGCATTTATTAACCTGCGTAACAGCAAATTGAACGTGAATTCAGTTGGAGAACGGGAGCAACAGGGCACGGAGTTGACTACATCCCTCGTTATTTACTCTCTGTGAATTGCCTGGGGTTCTGCTCGTGAACGTTGCCAAACCAGTGCACACCGGTTTAAATGTCAAATCAATTTGCTGCTGTTTTCACTGCATCGGTAGATACCCCCGTGCAAGGCTTGCTTTTTATGGCTGGGGAAGTGATGGAGCCAACCTGGACGTTGATTGGCTCAAGTACATAAGGCAGAGAGCTCAAATCAAGAGAAAAGCTGGAAAATATTTGTTTTTAATGCTGTTTGGGAATAATGAGGTGTGATTTCTGGTTCCGGTGCTCCTGGGTGCCATGGATGCTGTCTGATTGCATGCACGTTGCCATTATTCTAACGGAGACATGCTGTCAGCTGCGCTTTTGGTAGCCCTGCTGCTGGGATGCTCTTTCTTGAATACTGTCAGGCTGCTTTTGGACAAAAGGTTTTCCTCTCTGTCCAGTTTAAAACTTACTTTGACAGGAAGAAGGGGAGTTTAGTGTTACTGCTAACCTTTTCCCTGTGCTTTGCAGACTCGCTGAGCACCTGAGGAGGACAAGAGCTGCCATCGTCTTCCAGAAGCAGTACCGAATGCTGCGGATCCTCCGAGCTTTCCAGAGGATCCGCGAGGCAACCATCACCATTCAGGCTTTTGCTCGGGGCATGTTCGTCAGGAGGATTTATCACAAGGTACGACTCCACGGAGTATCTTTGCATTAGAAAAGAGTAGGAAGAACCTTTATATTTACCTCCGCTGGCATAGCATGGTGATGTATTTATTGTGGCCATTTTGATGTTTTACGAAGCTGACTGCCTCTGGTGTTTGTGGAGAGCACACATTGACGGCGAGCATTGCCGTTTAAAGCTGTGCAAGCAAAAATGATTTTGGCAGGAGGACCTCAGCACAGCAGCTAAATGAAGTTAGTCGTTCCGATGCCGGGAGGCACTGTGGAAATCTGGAAATGTCGTTTGAGCTAACCCGTACTCTGCAGAAGCCTCCCTGGCAAACTGAATTTGTGTCTGAGCTGTGCTGCAGGTGCCATTTCCAGTATGGTAGGAAGAGCACTAGGGTCTGTTGTGGAAGGCATCAAGTAATTTATTAATATAAATCCCTCTTTAATTATTTCTCTTCATTAGCTTTCTGTGTAAAATCAGGAGCTGAAAGTGAGGAAGTAAAGGTTTGGTGACAGCAAGTGGTACAGTAAGAAATCATCTGTCAGGAAGCTTAGAATAGCTTTGGGGAATCTTCTGTCCACTTCTTGGATCCAGCCTTGCTTTGGTAGTCACCTAGATTTTTGCCTCATTGTGGTTACGGGGATGTGCGAAGAAGGCAGAGGCATGATGAGCCAGGAGGGAGAGCTTACTACTTCTGGAGATGATGGAGGTTGCCTGGACACCTGGTGACCCACCAGAGAGATCAGGTGTGTCCTCTGAAACAGAGCAGCTGGATGCTGGTCATCAGGAATTTGTGCTGCCACTGCTTTTTCAGCATCTGTTTCCTAAATCAGAACCGTCTGTCGGGGAGATGGCTGGTCCAGCGTCTAAACTCTCTGAGATCCAAGGCAACCCAAAATCTTAGCAAGGTGTAGAAGCTGGCTGAAGGTCAGGCCTCTCAAATCTGAACATCCTTAATCTCTGGAGCACCTGGGTGTAGGTGTTGGATACAGGTATCGATTCAAGTGCGTGCTCAGTAACAGACGGAGGGCTGCAGGTGGTGCTCCATGGGGTCAAGGCATGCCCAGTGCCCACCAAGATTTTGCTGTAAGGCTGGACTAGGTCCCCAAGGCAGTACAGTATGGTTTCTTTGAGGTTTTTGGGCACCCTCAGCTTTCTCCATCTGTAAGAGTGCCAAGGCTGGAGACATACAAAGCTCATTTTAGAGTAACTGCTACTGCATCCTAAATTCACACAATCCCTTTATTCTGGATTAAAATTTGCAAGTGCAAAGAAAGCCTTAGGGTGAAACAAAAGATTTGTAAGAAGCTGATATGGTACCTTTTCTGATACAACTTAGCCCAAACTAATAACAGCAAAATGTCTTGTAATCTTTAAATTCCCCTGCTATTTCTTTCCTCATAATACTGCAGCATAGATCAACGCAAGAAAGTTATTAACAACATTCTGGTTGTGTCTCTGATATGTCATCCTTCAGTTTTAGAGGAAGGAGTTGAACTGCCACCTGCTGAAAAGAGTACTGTAAATTTTGGGGGAGAAACTCAATGCAAAAGTGACAGAAGTTTCACAAAACCAGATACAAGTTTGTAGAAATTGAATCATGCCAGAGAACTGACGGCAGAACGTAGTGAAAGGACTCCAGGGTTTTATTTGAAGGTTATCCACGTGATAAGAAATCCCACCAGGACAGCAGTTATCTGCAGTATAAATTATCATAATGCAGGGGTGGAAGGCAGCATAAAATCTACAAACCTGTTCTGGTATGAGTTATATCTGATGCTGAAGGACAGTAAGTTTATTGCTAAGTGTGGGTGTTAGTGGCTATTTATTCTGCTATCTATGGATCTTGTGGATCTGAGTACTATCCGAGGTGATCCATGAAGTCTCACTTGAGCTCAGATGTCCCCTATCCCCATCGAGTCCTCTGCTCACCAGCCAGGATCATATCCCCTTGTTTCACTGGCCGAGCAGGTCTTGATTCTCTTTAGATAGCAGCTTGGCTCCTAAGAGAGGAGTGGATGCATCCAAGCCTGCATCAGTTGAGTGCAGTGACTGAAGAAACCCCTCAGGAGGGGAGACTGACGTACCCCTTCCTGGCTATGTAAGGAGGTGCAAAGTAACAGCCCCTGTCTCCAGCCGTCACCCCCTGCACCTACCAGGACACTCCTTCTTGAAGGAGAAGCCCTTCTGAAGGCAGATTGGGAAGCGTTGGGTGCCGTGTTGCAGCCAAACCAGGGCTGCTGCTGCCTCTACAGGTGACGTTTCTCCCTTGATGGTCCTATTTCTGCCCATGTTTTGTAGATCCTGGCGGAGCACAAAGCCACCATCCTCCAGAAGTACGCGCGGGGCTGGCTGGCCCGCACTCGCTTCCGCCGGGTCAGGGGTGCCACCATCGTCCTGCAGTGCTACTACCGGCGCATGAAGGCCAGGCAGGAGCTGAAGGCACTGAAGATCGAGGCCCGCTCAGCACAGCACCTGAAGAAGCTCAACATTGGCATGGAGAACAAGGTGGTCCAACTTCAGAGGAAGATTGATGAGCAGGTATGTCCTGAGCTGTGCTGGAAAAAGTGTGGTCCTGCTTCTGGTTTGCCTCTCTTCCGCTGTCCTTCCTGGGAAGGATTTTATTTTGCTCTGATATCTGGGAAGGTTGTCATGGTGATGGCAGCCTTCTGCTACTGCTGGCCAGACACTTGTAAGGGTTGGAGACCGCCATGGAAGTGCGGATGCACTGGGATCTTGAGTCTCCACCTTGCTGTCTGTAAGAGCTTGCTCAGTAAGCTGCAAAAGCTGCGTTGTAATTGTTGTAAGAACTGCCCAGAAGGACTTAGAGGAGGAAGATAAAATGGCAATCGTGAAAGCTGCTGCTTGGAAACCCAGGCTAGCTCCACGGGAGGTCCCCATGCCAAACAAGCTTTGGGCTGGATAGTTCCCTTACACTTCCTGCTTTGCAAGCACTGAGGACGCAGTCTGCCACGGTTTGTTGTGCTTAACCGTCTGTCTCTTGGGATCACCTGGAAGGTGAACGGTACGTTGGGTAAATACTCCCTTTGCAAAGTAGTTTGAGCGTGATTGTGTTACTAGACGCAACTGTTCAGAAGCAAGAGCCTCGACGAGGGCTGAGCTGGCGCCGTGGAAGCGATAGAGGCCTGTGTGCGTGGCTTGAAGGTCTCACTGTGGTGACTCGATCACAGAGGGCTCTTCATCACATGCCACTTGTCATTAATGAGCTGCAGAGCGGTTGTTTTGCATGTAGGAGGAGGGTTTTCCTACCTACAGGAGCGTGCGAGTTGCTCTGATAAGTACCCTCTGTGTTGCTTCCCGGTGCTGTACAAGGCCTTCAGGGATGACTAAGAAATGCTGAGTAGGGCCCAGTTGTATCCACTAATATTAATGGAGAAATTAATGTCCACCTCCATCCTTAAAACACCCTTTTACAGGCAGCAGAAACACTCTCTAAGTCAGGATACCCACTTATTTGTAGCACCAGTCATCAGTAACTGCAGTTTATGGTTGCGTTTCGGATGTGGTCAGGAACGCTTCTACATCGCCCGCAGTTTCCTCGCCAGCTTAAATCTCTCCCATCCCTGTTCGCCGCGAGAGGTCCTGCCGTGGTGAAGATGAGAAGGGACTCTGCGTTGGCACAGATCCTGCGGAGTCAAGGCACCTGGGGATTTGCATGACTGCTGGCCGCTTTTGTTGCTGCAAAGCGTGCGCTGCAGTAGAGCCTGACTTTTAAACCGCAGTGTTTGGTTTTAAAATGCCTGCTTGTGTACTTTGCAGACAAACCGTAGCTTAGGAGCGGAGAGCCTGAGGCATAAGGTTTTCTGGATATTTTGGTATCGGAAACCTGTTGGAGATGACGCTTCATCTGAAGGGTATTTGGTGGAATTAATTAGGGCGAGTCATTTCAGGTCTGTGTATTTAGGCTGAACTCGTGCAATGAGCGTGAATGTCTGTGTTAGGTCTGCTGAGCCGCTGGATTTGGCAGTGGAGCAGCAGTATTCATTTTTTTACTTTTTTTTTTTTTTTTTTTAAATTCCTTGCCATCTACTGCTAGGAAAAGTGTGGGGGTGGAACAATAAATTAAAAACAATCTTTGGTTAATGTTGGCTTTCCTGTCGTGGCTTATGAACGCAGCAGAAAGGTCTGCTTTGGGGAAGGAGATGTGGAGAGCTTTGAAGTAGGCAGAAATAACGGGCTGGAGCTCATCTTCATCTCCCCCGGTCTCTGCGCAGACCGTTTTGAAGGAGTTACTTTGATGCTTTCTGTGTAAAGTTTGCAGGAAAGAATTGCTGCTCTCTATTACCCAGGGCAGTCTGTCCAGTGAGCTAATTCTAACCATCATTTCAGGACTGACAGGTTTCCCTGGGATGCTTTGGATGTGCTGGGGAGCGCTGTTCCAGTGGACTTTCTTTTCAGTGCACTGGATTATTTTTTTTCGGGCAGCAGTGGGTTTGTTGCATCATATTTTCCCTCAAGTATCTTGATGTCAGTCCTTGCTAATCTGTAAACACGACCTTTTAAAATGCCGATTAACTTTCAAAGAAAAAAAAAAAGAAAAAACTGCAGGTAACCTGGAGAGCTGCAGTTGTATGGATTTCGGACTAGCTGTGGAAGAAAATGTTTCTATTTCTGCTACTTTAGCTCATGCGTGAACAGAGAGATGCAACACTCCGTGTGCCCCTGAGGAAGAGAAGATCTTTCTTTGAAAACATTCAGACCTGGTATTGTGTGTCAGCCGTGGCTCACACGCTCTGGCATCCATAACTGGGCCTATTTTAATTCAGTTTCTAAATCAAGCAAGGGATTTTTTGCACACACAAGAGAGGTTTAAATCTCATTTGCTGCAGAATTTCTACACTGGACCATTTTTTTCTATCCATGTTGAACCAATTTTTTCTTTTTTTTTTTTTTTGTCCTTTTCAGTCAAGTGAGGGTTTTTTTGAAATGTGTATATTGTAGCTACTTGAGGCACTTTCAAGGCTGTTACCTAATTGAGTGTTATGTGTTCATGCAGACAATGTTCAGACTCACAGGGAGCTCCCTACCCTGGCTCTGCGAGCAGCAGTATCTCTGTGAGCATTTATTCTGGATAAAACTAGTTTGAGTAACAGGAGGGATGAAGTTTGTCTCTGCCATTGGTAGCAAAATAAACTGTTCACAGAGCTTCGGTTGAAACCAGGACTGTCACAGCTCTGCTGGGCTAGATAATGGTTTAAAATAAAGCAAGTTCAAGTTTAACAGGGTCTGTTGAGCAATCTCCAATTGCAGTGGGGACCAACTGGTTTGGTACAAGACAGTAAATGGTCTCTCATGTCTCTAGTAGCTAATTCCTGCGCATCTATCATGTATCTGGATTGAAATCTCAGTTGGCTGGTATGTAAGATCGAAGAATGGTTTCGGTTGGAAGGGACCTTCAAAGATGACTTACCCCAATGCTCCCTGCCACAGGCAGGATCACCTCCCGCTAGACCCATCCAGCCTGGCCTTGAGCCCTGCC